CCAAAACAACCATGGCCATCCCCAAACTCAACCATGACCATCCCCAACCCAACCATGACCATCCCCATCCCAACCATGACCATCCCCAAACTCAACCATGACCATTCCCATCGCAACCATTAAGTAGGGGGTAAAATAATTGGAGAAAAAAAGAAATAATTAATATAGAGAGGAAAAAATAATTAGGGAAAAAAAGAAATAATTAATACGTACGGGAAAAATACAGGAAAAAAATAATTATTAAGTAGGGAATAAAATAATTAATTTAAAAAAGAAATAATTGCTAAGTAGAGTTTAAGCATCATCTCTCTTTCCTCTCCAACTGCAGGACATGCAGCCCCTGAGGCTCTTCCCCCAGCCCGGCCACCCCGCCCGCACCAGCCCCATCCGGCACAGCAAGAGGGGCCTGGGCAGCACCGACGAGGGCCGGGAGCAGGGTAAGGGCTGCCCAGGGGGTGCTGGGACCCTCCCCCTGCTTTTGGGGAGCTCTGCTGCTCCCTCTGTGCTCAGGGGGGCGGCTGGGTCTGATCTTGCAGCCGAGCTGCTGAAAAGTGCGGGATTGGAGACCCCGGTGCCGCCGCCGCCGCCCCTGAGCCGCTGCATCTCCATGCCCGTGGACATCTCCGGTGGGTTTGGGGGTGGGAATGGGGGGTCTTGGGGTGGGTAGCTCAGGGGATAGCTGGGGACAGCCAGGAGACACCCAGGGGACAGGCAGGGACAACCAGGGACACACAGGGGACACCCAAGGACACCCAGGGCAGCCGCCCCTGAGCCGCTGCATCTCCATGCCCGTGGATATCTCCGGTGGGTTTGGGGGTGGGAATGGGGGGTCTTGGGGTGGGTAGCTCAGGGGATAGTTGGGGACACTCAGGGGACACCCAGGGACACTCTGGGGACAGCCAGGGGACAGGCAGGGACACTCAGGGGACACCCAGGGACATCCAGGGCAGCCACCCCTGAGCCACTGCATCTCCAAGCCCGTGGATATCTCTGGTGGGGATGGATATATTTGGGGGTGGGAACGGAGGGTCTTGGGGACAGCTGGGGGACCCTGGGGAGTGTCTTGTCCCCATGTTGGACACGGTCACCCTGTCACCCCTCCAGGCATCCAGAAGGGTCCCCGCTCCGACTTCGACATGGCCTACGAGCGCGGCCGCATCTCGGTGTCGCTGCAGGAGGACAGCACGGGGGCCATGGCCGGATTCGCGCGGGTACGGCCGCAGGACCCCTGGATCCCACCCCAAATCCCACCCTGAATCCCACCCGAAATCCCACCCTGAATCCCACTCAAATCCTACCCCAAAATTCCACTGAATCTCAACCCAAATCCCACCCCAAATCCCACCTGAATCCCGCTCCAAATCCCACCCTGAATCCCACCCAAATCCCACCCTGAATCCCACCCAAATCCTACCCTGAATCTCACCCCAAATCCCACCTTGAATCCCACCCCAAATCCCACCCAAATCCTACCCCAAACCACCTTGAATCCCACTCCAAAGCCCCACTGAATCCCACCCTGAATCCCACCTGAATCCCACCCCAAACCCCCTCAGAATCCTAACCCAAATCCCACCTGAATCCCACCCCAAAGCCCCACTGAATCCCACCCCAAATCCCACCTGAATCCCACCCCAAATCCCACCTGAATCCCACACCAAATCCCACCCAAATCCTACCCCAAACCACCTTGAATTCCACTCCAAACCCCCTCAAAATCCCACCTTAATCTCACCTGAATCCCACTCTGACTTCCACCTGAATCCCACCCTGAATCCCACCTGAATCCCACCCCAAATCCCACCTGAATCTTACCCTGAATCCCACCCCAAATCCTACCTCAAACCACTCTGAATCCCACCCCAAATCCCACTCAAATTCTACCCCGAATCTCACCGAATCCCACCTGAATCCCCCCCCAAATCCCCCCAAACCTCTCCCTGACCCCGCCGTGCCCCGCAGTCGGTGTCCCACGAGCCCAAGGAGCGCAAGTCGGTGACGCTGGAGGAGCCCCCGCCGGGGTCCCACCAGTCCAACTCCAGCGAGGACGAGGCGGGGCCGGGGCCGTGTCCCTTCGGGCCCTTCCAGGGCCGCCAGACCAACCTCGTCTTCGAGGCCGCCAAGCAGGAGCTGGTCAAGCTCATGAAGGTGGAGGTGAGGCCTTGGGGGGGGTCTCATCACGTTGGGGCTTCCCATCACTTCACACCGGCCCCCCGTGCTTTGGGGTGGTCCTGTTGTGTTGTGGTGGGTTCCCACTGCCTCGTGGAGGTCCCCATCCCTTCGTGTTGGTCCCCTGTTACTCTGTGGTGGGTCTCTGTTGTGTTGTGGTGGGTCCCCACTTCCTTGTGGTGGTCCCTGTCCCCTCATGTTGGTCCCCTGTTGCTCTGGGGTGGGTCTCTTGTGGCCTCGTGGTGGGTTCCCAGTTCCTCGTGTTGGTCCCCGTCCCCTCATGTTGGTCCCCTGTTGCTCTGGGGTGGGTCTCTGGTGGCCTGGTCATCCTTCTCCCCTCATGGTGGTCCCCATTGTTTGTGGTGGTCCCCATGACCTCCTGGTCATCCTTGTCCCCTCATGGTGGTCCCTGTGACCTCCTGGTCATCCTTGTCCCCTCATGGTGGTCCCCGTGACATCCTGGTCGTCCTGGTCCCCTCATGGTGGTCCCCACTGTTTGTGGTGGTCCCTGTGACCTCCTGGTCATCCTTTATCCCCTCATGGTGGTCCCTGTTGTTTGTGGTGGTCCCCACGACCTCCTGCTCATCCTTGTCCCCTCATGGTGGTCCCCATCTCCTCCTGAGGGTCCCCACCACCCCACACGACACCGTTCTTCCCTCCAGGACCCCTCTCTGCTCAACAACCGTGTCCTGCTCCACCACGCCAAAGCTGGGACCGTCATTGCCCGCCAAGGTGACCAGGTGGGTTTTGGGGGGGTTTCTGTGGCCCCTTGACTCCCCCTCCCCATATTTCCATGGGGTGCCACTCCCCTACTCCTCCCCCGTGGCTCTTGGGGGGGTGGGAACGACCCCAGAACCTCGGGAGGGTTCAAACCCCCCGTGAGGAGAAACACAACCACCCACACGTGGGGCTGGGGGGACCCTTGTACCTGGGGGTCCCTGGGTGGCTCCCGGGGTCCCGGGTGGCTTCCGGGGATTCCAGATGGCTCCATGGGGTCCCAGGTGACTCCCAGGATCCTGGATGGCTCTGTGGGATTCTGGGTGGCTACCAGGGATCCCGGGTGACTCCCAGGTCCCAGATGTCTCTGTGGGGTCCCAGGTGACTCCCAGGGATCCCAGATGGCTCCATGGGATCCTGGGTGGCTCCCAGGGATCCTGGGTGGCTCTCAGTGATCCCAGATGGCTCTATGGGATTCTGGGTGACTTCCAGGGATCCCGGGTGGCTCCCGATGAACCTGGGTGACTTCCAGTGATCCCGGGTGGCTCTGTGGGATCCTGGGTGACTCCCAATGATCCCAGGTGACTCCCAGGGATCCCGAGTGGCTCTGTGGAGTCCTGGATGACTCTCAGTGATCCCGGGTGGCTCTGAGTGATCCCGGGTGCCTCTGTGGGGTCCCGGGTGACTCCCAGGGATCCCGGGTGGCTCTGTGGGGTCCCGGGTGACTCCCAGGGATCCCAGGTGGCTCTATGGGGTCCCAGGTGACCCCCAGTGATCCTGGGTGATTCCCAGGGGTCCTGGGTGACTCCCAGTGATCCCAGGTGTCTCTGTGGGATCCCGAGTGGCTCCCAGTGATCCCGGGTGGCTCTGAGTGATCCCGGGTGGCTCTGTGGGGTCCCGGGTGACCCCCAGTGATCCCGGGTGGCCCCAGCGCGCCCCGGCCGTGCCGCGGCGGTGACGGGGCGCGCTCTGGGCAGGACGTGAGCCTGCACTTCGTGCTCTGGGGGTGCCTGCACGTGTACCAGCGCATGATCGACAAGGCGGAGGACGTGTGCCTGTTCCTGACGCAGCCCGGCGAGCTGGTGGGGCAGCTGGCCGTGCTCACCGGGGAGCCCCTCATCTTCACCATCAAGGCCAACCGCGACTGCACCTTCCTCAAGATCTCCAAGTCCGACTTCTACGAGTGAGAAAGGGGCCACGGGGTGAGGGGGGTGATGCCCAAGGGGGACAGTCGAGGACTGGGGGGGTGGCAGCAGTGGGGTGGTTGTTCGGCTCTGCCTGGTGTTGGTGTGGCCTCGCCTCGAGTGCTGGGGGTAGTAGGGGGGTCACCACGAGGAGTGGAGGAGTCTCCGGAGCTCCAAGTCGCTCTGAGGGTCCTGGGTGGCCCTGAGAGGTCCTGGGTGGCTCCAAGGGGTCCCAGGTGGCTCTGAGGGGTCCCAGGTGGCTCCAAGGGTCCCAGGTGAATCCAAGGGGTCCCAGGTGGTTCTGAGTGGTCCTGGGTGGCTCTGAGAAGTCCTGGGTGGCTCCGAGGGGCTGCTGTGGTGGCACCTTCAGGGCCACTGTGGTGGCACCTTCGGGGCCGCTGTGGTGGCACTTCGGGGGCCACTGTGGTGGGATATTCAGGGTTACTGTGGTCGCATCTTCAGGGCCACTGCAGTGGCATCTCTGGGGTTGCTGTGGTGGCATCTTTGGGGTTGCTGTGGTGGCACCTTCAAGGCCACTGTGGTGGCACCTTCAGGGCTGCTGTGGTGGCATCTTTGGGGCCGCTGTGGTGGCACCTTCAGGGTTGCTGTGGT